AGAGAGAGAGAGAAGAAATCTTCACATGTGAATTAATTGTTATATAGCTAGCAATAACAACCATTATATTTGTATACAGACGACAGATCTGTACGTGTACGTGTACGTGTACGCACTCCCAAAGAAAGAATTCATCTACTTGTTCATTAGCTAGGTTTTCTTCATCTTCATAATCGCCATACATAATATCAGATTCAAAGAAAGATTCCAATTCAGATTGTGATCATCTGAATAGAAAAAGAATCTTAATTAATGAGTTTAACATGTACACATTGAACTGCAAATCCATGAAACCAATCTAAACCATTCGGTAAGTTTGATTTAAGTTATGATTCATATTGTTTGTTCTTGTAGGTGTGTATGTGTTTGTTTCGAATGTTTTATCTATAAAACAACATTATTGTATGAAAATTGCATGTTTTACATGAAAACTGGTTTGCAAGTTTATAAGGTTCTCATTTCATTTGCTCTCTATGTATGTATATATAATGTATATATTTGAAAACATGCAGGAGTTACTATCGTTGCACTAGTGCATCATGTGGAGTGAAGAAGAGGGTTGAAAGATCATCAGAGGATCCATCCACAGTTGTGACAACTTATGAAGGTACTCATAAACACCCATGCCCCATGACACCTCGAGGAATGTTGCCGGAAACCGCCACTTATGGCGGTGGTGGTGGTGGTCCTTCGTTTCTTTTACCTCATCAACTTCACTACCAACAACCACCACAATTACCCTTTTTCCATAACCAAACAAATTCTTTAAGCTTTAACAACAACAACACCACCACCACCACCACCACCACCACCACATACTCACATAATTACCTTCAAGAAGGTCGATCTTACCCTTCTCCTCTGCTCAGAGATCATGGACTTCTTCAAGATATGGTATCCTTCCAGAGTGGCAAACAGGAACCTAGGTAAGGGTATATTAACTAGGGAAAAGGTCTGAAGGTTGCATCCTAAATTAATTAGGTATAGTAGCTAGTTATATCTATATATATATATATATATATATGAATTAAGGCATATTTAGCTTTGTTCAGTTGGTTTATTCTTTGTTAACAAAGACAATTTCCATACTATGTATGCATGGTATCATGATGATGACCATTATATTATCTTTTAAGTTATTTTTGTATATCTTAATCTAAATTCGTGCTTGTTTTTAAGTTCTTCACATTCTCATTTCAGTTCTATATATCATGTGGTGTATATATGTTTAGTGTTCATTTTATATATATATATATATATATATATATATATATATAT